CCTTCCATGGAAATGTAAGAAAAAGTGGTGAGCTGCTTTTTTCCAAAGTACATCGCGCGCCAAGTGTCGTCTAAAGTTCGAACTTCCAGTAGGAGAGCTTTCCACTTTTACTGGAACGTTCCAGTGAAACTCACCGTGTACAGTAGCTTCCGACTACAAAAGGATGGCATACGGCCAGATATCGATCTACCGTAATCGATACAAGCAGCCAGACACTCATCGATTGAAACATTACAGTAACCGGATACGCGTAGAACATGAGCAACGCGATCGACCGCTCGGAAACTGAAAGAAATCATTGGGGTCAGCTCGAAAGACGTTCTCCATATCGAGTATTGGTTACAGTACTCGCTCACTTTACTTACCGGGTAAAAAGAACTGCAAATGATTACTACTGAACACTGGTATCGACAACACGCACACCGATAGATCAGTAGCCGACAGTGCCGATAGTAGAATATTGATTGATCTGCAATTATTGTTTTACTTTATATTATTTTACTCGTTCATTGAGCTGATGACAACTGGTGTTTTTGATCTAATATAAGTTTACTAAAAACTTCATCTTTCCATTATCCATGAAACTGAGAAATGGCTCAGGCTGCTTTGCCAGTTCAAAGCGCACATTCCACACTGACAGACAATACGCAGTCCCACTTTTTCGTTATCTCCTTGGAAAAAAAGCCACATGAGGGAGAGGGCGAGCACTAAGCGCAAAACTGACTCCGCCAATGAATCAGTGTGGAACCTGCCCCTTGATTCCAAATATATTAGCGCTTTCTTTAAAATCGGGTTCGCATGGTCTATTCAATAGTTACCCTTTCGGTATACACTTCAAGAAAATTCCCCCCAAAACAAATTTGCAGATTCTCAGATTATTGACAATATGACAAAAAAAGTATTGGTAGTGGCGAATGTTAAGTTGCTTCTGCCAAACGAGGTTGTTAGGTGAACCTTTTATTGACCCAACGTTTCGGCCTTCTCGTCTTCTTCAGAGGCCTGAAAATAGCTCGGAGCTTTTACTTACACGATCAAACGCCTTCCCCACTCTAGCGTTTCCGACGTCATGTCGCTAACGCTCCCGAACAACCCGGTATAACTGCGAGCAACTCACCGCGAAGGTACCACCGTGCGGAGCCCAGCTTTCGCTGTCTGTTAGTTGGATTAGTAACGACTCATTCGTCCTTCCAGACTATTCGCCTCGCACATAGCAAGAACTAAGACCCCGAGAACGACAGCCCGCGGCGCATGTAGTTTCTGCACGACATCGGCAATGAGGCGTCCGCCTTCTTTTTGAAACATCATTGTAAGGAGAATCCCGCGCCGTAAGAGAAGTACCCATAGTTGGGAGGTGAGGTGATGTAATTCCAAACTTACGAGATGATTCCTTTCTCAGAAAGACTACAGACCATTATGAGGAGGGATAATTATGTAGTGCTATCTCGCTTGATGCTGCACTTTTGCGAACGAAAAATCCAGTCCTTACGTGCCCATGCTAAATTTGCCTTAACCTCGCCAGGTCTCGCTTCGTAGCCACTTCTTCACTCAGCGTGCTGGTTCTGAGTACTCTAAGTTATGCAAGAGCATTCGTTTGCCTCTAAAGCTCTCCCGCTTCAAACAAGAAGTCTCGCGTTTCCTCAAGAAGTTCAGCTAGTTGTGCTCACAGACTCCTCCTCTCATTGCACTGGTTCCTTTCACTTTTTTTCTCTTCATTTTTTTTTGTTATTCTTTTATCTAGCTTCAAAAGCACTGCCTTCAATTTTAATTGCTACTATTTCTACTCTTTCTAGACATACCTGATTAAAAAATACCTAATAATTGAAATGATACCTGATTTGTTATGTTGGTTCTGATGTTTCATGTTGGTTCAACATGCTCCCAGCGGGCATGTAATAATTACTAAATGCTAAGCGGGGAAGCTAGCTTATCACTAACAACTGCAATGCTCTAAGGAAGTACAGTCGTCATCCGGGCACTTGATTAGGCGGCCAAGGGTCGCGACGCGGCTGCGGCGTGTCACGAGCGCGGCGATCAGCTGTTTCCAGCCTATTTTAGCCATTTTCTCCCTAATTTACACTGTTTTGGCTGCTTTTCTCAAGATTAGTTGTTCCTTGTCTTCACAAGGTAAATTATGATTGAGATTCCTCTGATTTTTGCGTACACTTAACAGAGCGGACAATTAAAGACAATTATCGC